TTGGTTTCTCCTTTTTTTAGAGATGATGAAGAGAAAAAAAAATCTCCCTCAGAAGGGACCGATGAGAAGGCTAATGGAACACATCCAAAGACCCTCACTCGTATTGGGAGTACTACCAATCCATTCTTGGACATTCCACACGATCCAAACGCTACTGTGTATAAAAGTGGGTTCTTGGCTCGGAAAATTCATGCTGATATGGATGGAAAGAAGAGTAAGGATTTTTTTTTCACTCTATGTTTTATTTTATCTTTAGACCCCAAATTTAAAGTGAATTTGTCTCAAAGTCAAGGAGGAATAAAAATGATGCTTAACTAGAGAAGTAGTCTAAGGCTTGAAAAAGTCTTTAGCTCTAAATTGATCATTCTGTATGGGACCTGCACTTCCTAAAGTCAGACTGCAGAGCCTCAGAAAGGGAAAACAGCTTACAGGTTACTTGGTGTTGGTTGTTGGTTTGCTTTGTTTTTTTCTCCCAACTTTCTATTCATTGTTTCTACAAAATCATATGAAATGTCTATTATCTGCTAATAATGAAAAATGAAACAGCGAGTAAGGTGGACCAGGATCCTGTCTGTCAGTCTGGTGGTTGGTGTATAAAATAAAGAATAATAAATAGCATAATAAACAGATATTGTGCATAGTGGGGGTGGCATGAGAGCCACAGCATATGTGAGAGAAATGATTTGGTGTAAAGATAGGCAGGTGAGAGATAGAAGAACATGGCATTATGAGTATTGGGACATTGAAGGAATCCCATCTAATCATTTTAATTATTCTGAAATCTGAAACACGATTGCCCATGGAAGGTAATGGTGTGACATTTGGAAAGAGTGCCTCCACTCCACATGTGGGTTTTGTTAGCTGGGTTGTCTAGAGAACTCAAACCAGTGACATTCACATATGTAGAAGAAAGAACTTGGTGTCGAGAAGTCATTTTCTACCAAGACGACATCCCAGCCCAGTCCAGCCCAAGTCCATGGGTCTGGTACCTGGGCTCTGTTCAGAGTCATGTAGCCAAAGGCCAGTGACGCAGAAAGGCAGAGCAGCAGAGTGAAGGGAAAGCTCAGAGGCAGTGGGCACAGAACACATGGATCCACAGTTGCCGAGACCTAGCAGGGCATCAACAGCTTCCAGGTGGGTGACCCACAGGAAGCTACCCAGGAGGCAGACACCAGAGCCCAAGCAAGCAGGAAGGGTGACAGGGCAGCAAGAGAGGATTTCTCACTGGCTCTCTTATGAAAAAGGCCCCAAAGGCATCATCAGCCGGTGACCTAATTGAAAGAATGGACTCCACCCTACATTTTCCCACAGGGACAAGTTGACATAAAATCTAACTGTCGGATGAGGCTTCAAAAATTCCTGAAAAACAATTCCATTATCTTTCCATTCCCTTTTTCCCTGAACTTTTTGAAGTTCCCTCATGTTTGCGATAATCCTTGCAAAAGATAAATAACAGCTGATACACATGCACAGACGATTTGTCTAGGTGGCCCCACCCACCTACCAGCAGCCCACAGTATGATGGAGAATACCATTTCTCTGTGGCTAGGCACCTTAAAAAATTGTATTAACCTATTTGATTAGATTAGAACCCAGAGCACCATTGTAATGAAGTGGCTTTGAGACAGTGATTGTTGAGCACATTCCTTAATGTTCGCAACATGTTCACGAGTTCCCTCACCATGTTTGCTGTGCGTCGCCTGCCCCGGCCTGATGGCACAGAGTTTTCTGACATAGTACTCTGTCAGAACTTTAATGGTGACAGTAATAGCGAGGCAAATGAGCTTAGGGGGAAGCGTACCTGACGGCGAGGGGTGGATTATCAGTAGGGTGCTACACTGTTTGGATGGCAGTTTCATCCTTCAATAAGAATCAGTACCCACTGGATACATGTTTCTTCCCAGCACTGTTAACCCTCTGTGGAAAGTTGCCACCGGAGAGAATTCTCCCCCTCAAATTTCAGATTCAGCCTATCCCAGGACAGGCCTCTCATTTGTGTGCCCCAGGGAGGGACTACTGTGATTGACAGAAACAACTTAGTTGAGGTGGAAAAAGGAAAAGTTTCCCTAAAGAAACAATAAGATATATTTCTGGGTTGTTCTGCCAAAACAATAGCGATCCATCTTTCTATCTTCAGTACAAACCCCTGCACACCCTTTAGCTCTATATTTAGTTCAGAAATGCCTTTGCTGAACATCATGTGATTTCATTTCTATTACCAGAAATATACTCCTCCCGCTCCAAGATTTCATGTCTGCTGCTGGTTCCCCCTCCGCGATGTGTTTCAATGCCCATCCCCCTCAGTCTGGCGTGGGTACACCTTCAACCGACACTGCTATTACATGCCATCAAGGTGGTTCCGACTGTGTAAGACAGGGAAAATGCCCGATCCTGTGCCAGGTCTCTCCGGACAACATGCCCATTAGCTCTAAGGAGCCTTCTGGCTGTACTTCTTCCAAATCATTCACTTGTTCTTTTTGCAGTCCATGATACTTTCAACCTTCTTTGCCAGCACCATAGTTCTGACGCACGGATTCTTCTCTGGTCTTCTTTGTTCATTCAGTGCCCAGCTTTCATATGCGTAAAAAGCAATTGAAAATCCCAGACTGGGTCAAAGTAACCTCTTTGCTTTTCAACACTTTAAAGAGATCTTGTGCAGCAGGTTTACCTCATGCACTACATCTTTTGATCACTTTTAATATAATTCTAAATCCTGTGTGAGGAACACACGTGTCCTGTTCACCCTGATAAATCTGAGTCGGTCTGGTCATGCTCAGTAGAACTAGAGCTCTACTGTGATCTTTGTACATACATGTCAACATGGCCAGGTGCTCGGATGACAGGTATGACTGAAAGTTGTTCACTGTAAAGGGAGACTGAGAGCGCAGCTCTGCCGAGAGATTCTTTTCTCACCAAGCCCTGATTAGCATGTCTCCAAAGCACCACTTGATATGGCATCTTTTACTTTAAAAATTAACTTCCAGGACTAGGTTTGTCAGATTACATTCGGAATTATATCAAGGCACATTTTAAGGACCTTAGAGGTGTGCTTTCTTTCATTATTTTGCCTTCTGGAGATATTCCTCCCTCCAAGAGACAAGTCATGATTAGAAACCCATGTTGTATCGCTCATAGAAATATGCATGTTACTAGACCAGTAAATCTGACAGAGGGGAAACTTTAAAACATAACGTCAGGCTAGAATAACAATGTATCAGTGGATGGGTGTAGTAGCATGAAATACAAAACCAGGAGAGTTTTAGCAAGCCCACATTAAATAGTTGTGGAAATTAAGACAATGGCTAGAAGTAATCTACTAAAACTATAAATGTTCTAAATGATAAAATAACCAATAATAAAAGAAGGCCGGAATAAAGGTTCAACCGGAAGCAATTAAAAAACCAACAATGAAACCTGAACCAAAGAAAGAAGGAAACAAGGAAGGGGGCCCGCCTTAACAACAACAACCCCAATTTAAAAAAGCAAAAGAACCGAAAAAACCCAAGCAACGGGTGGGGAAAAAGAAAATGGGCAAGAACAAAACCCGAATTAACAAACCAAACAGCCTGGTGGGAAAAACCAGTAAATGCTAGAAAACCTGGTTAGAAAGCCTGTAAGTTCTATGCTGCTTGTGGCTTTGGTTGGTATCGCTGCATGACGTGTTTTTGGAAGAGCAGGCATTTCGTTGGCCCACACAGCGCTTTTTAAAGCAGAGTTTGCTGAATCAGGTTAAATGTTTTTGAGCACAGTTCCCCAGCTTCCTCGCTCACAATGTTCCTCGGCTGGCCCTAGGGTCACTTGAGAGCTGGACCTGGGAAACATGCAAGAGGCGGGCCATGCGTATGCTGTGTTTCTGTTTCAATGGTAGTAAATTGGCAATAAATGTGAGTGTTTAGTTTTAGTACCACAGTTTACATAAGCTGAGTAATGAATGTTTCTTTATGAATTAAGCATTGCAGGGAACTCACATGTTAAGTGTAAGTGTGACACAGAAAGTGATTACTACAATTTCAACTTCACGGTAACTATTTTTAGGTCCCTAGAAGAAGAAAGAAGGCTTCCAAAAGTTCGTGGGAAAGTTCCACGCTCTCTTATTCCGTTTTCTGTCCATCTTTTGAAGCCCCTTTGGACACAGTCCGTGAAGGTAGCACGTAAGATGAACTCTCCAAAACTGAGGGAAGACGTGCAATCCGGGCCTTGCTAATACTTCCAATACAAAGACATCGATGGATAGGACAGCGAAGCGGAAGGAAGAACATGAAAGTAGCGGTCTACAATATTTATTATGCATTATAGCAGGCGTCCTCAAACAGGCATCCCCCACAGGCCACATGCAGCTGCCGAGGACATTTATCTGGGCCTCCGGGTGTTTTTGCCCCATTTGTTTTTTTACCTCAAAATAAGATAGGTGCAGTGTGCATAGGAATTTGTCCACAGTTTTTTTTAAAACTATAGGCCGGCCCTGCAATGTGTCTGAGGGACAGTGAACTGGCCCCCTGTTTAAAAAGTTTGAGGACCCCTGCATTATAGTATGACATAGGAAGTAATGCATACAATTTGGGACACCAGCTGTACTTCAATAAATGGTGCTAAGGGTGTGTGTATGTGTGTGTGTGTGTCTGTGTCTGTGTGTGTGAGTGAGTGAGTGCTATGATTTTGAAGCTTCAGGTGAGTTCAAACTGTCACCCTTTCAGTTTATAGCCCAGAGCAAATCATTTGCACCACTCTGGAACATTAGATATAGTGGTAACTAAAAAATAAAAAAAAGATTAAACTCACTGCCTTTGAGGTGATTCCTTTGAGAATAAGATACAATGGTAGAAAGATATTATTTAGGCATATGATCGTACTTCTAAATACTGAAAACAATTCAGACATTAAAAAGTGGTCTCTTAGGAGAGTGATATCGGAGGAGGTGGGAAAGGGCCTCAAAGGGGCCAGTTGTATGGCCATGTCCCTTCAATATTTTAAAAATTTTAGAATCATGTTATTGGAATTCAGTTTAGATTCAGAATTCACTTTTCCCCTCCTCAGTTTTGTTTCCAATCTGAAATACTAATTGCTTTGAGCGATATGAAAACCATAGTTTCTGAGTTCGGTTTTAGGCATTTTAAATACACTTGAGTGTGGATGGGAGGTGTGGGCAGCATCTCAAGCTGACAGTGAAGGTCTTACACACCTGTCATAGAAAGTTCTGAAAATGTAGTCCCACTT